TATATATATATATAGTGAGATTAATTATATTTGCATATCAATAATTTTTATATATTACCTTTATATTGATATTTTTTTATAAAATTTTTATACATAAAAATATAATTTGTTGTAATCACTTTATTTTCAAGAAAACAATCACTATTGTTTTCATAAATTTAAAAATGCCCTTGACATTTTATTTTAAAAATTATTTTTGTTTAAAATTTTATTTATATACATATGTAAAAAAAAAAAAAATCAAAAATCCAGGGGCACGTGACCCCCCCTAGGCCTCATGTGGCTCCGCCACTGCATGTGATTACACACTTATATTTAAGAGCGAACAATAAAAAATAAAATCATATGTATTATTTTTTAAAAATATTTTATTTATTTTCGAAACAAGTTGTAAGTTAGTTCTTCATTCCCCACTACAGTCATCTCCTACTTTTGTTTTATTTTTTAAAAATATTTTATTTATTTTCAAAACAAGTTGTAACTTAGTTCTTCAGTCCCCATTACAGTCATCTCCTACCTTTGTTGGTTGACCATCAGTGATCCTGTAGCCACCCTTTTGTGACCTTCGATTAGGGCGAACTCATAATTTTAGTTTAGGAGACCAAACACAAGTACTAACAAATTTTATTTATTTATGAGTGAAAAGTTCACACCTTAGTCTACAGGTTAATCTTTTTTGGTGATAAAACATGTTTAATAAAATTATTTGATGAGAAGGATAATTTATTATTTTAAAATATATTTTTTTTTCTAATTTTACCTCATCACTGCGGGGCTACTACTAGACCATTGCCAGAAAAGTCGCTAGAGGTGGCCGGCGACAATAGTGGTGGTGATAGTGATATGAACAAATAGGTGACACATGAATAAATAGGAAAATGACTCGTGAACAGATAAGTGAACAAATAAGTGAGGTTTTTTTTATAGATAAATGTAGTATAATTGTTCAATTATTATTATCCTTTTGACTGCAAAAGAATAGAGTTTAGGACTATTACTTCAAAAAATTTAAAATTAGACCTATGACCTGACTACTTTTTTTTTATATTTTATATTCATATTGAATTATAAAAAATGGCAAGTATTATAAGTCAATCTATCTAAAGTGAGACATATTAAGTTCCACACAATATTAGGGGAAATTTAATTTTCACACACTTAATTATTTCAGTACACATCTTTTCTCAGCATACATACCTATTAATTTGATTATTAATTAATTTTCTCAATCCATACACTAAAAGTTATAATTATACCTTTCACTCGTAACTATTATACACACACCACTTAACCCTCATTCCACACACTTGTTGAGTGACCCTATTTCCATATTTGTAGACTCACCCATGTCAAACCATTCAAGACCAAAGTCTAAAATTGAACCTCCATTGAAAACTCTTCAAAATATTGTTGAAGGTAAGGCATCTTTCTATTTTGTTATTGCATTTACCATTTTGATATTGCATTTACCATTTCCAGATCTTTGTGCACTTCATTGCCATAAAACCCTCGGTTTCTTTATATGTTTTTCGGTTTGGGAATTTCGGCACTAGTTTTCCGAAATTATACATTTAATTCGGAACTTAATTTCCGAATAAAGTGATTATTTTGACTAATTAGTTTTGAAAAAAAATTTAAAAAAATAGATGATTAGTTTCTGAATTTAATAAATTTCTTCGGTTCTATAGTTCCGAATATTTTCAATTGTTTCGACATTAATTTGGGTTCCAAATATTGTGTTTTGGTTCGACACTAAACTTCCGAATGAATTTTTATTTTATTTATTTAGACCAAGTTACATAGGCCACCAAGATTGGTTAGACCTTTTCCAACAACATTATTTTATGGGTGTGTTTATTTATTTTTATTTTTATTTTTTGTGAACTTCAATACATAACAATAGAAAAAAAAAATCTATGCAGTATTGGTATTCCGACATTATATTGTTAGCACAACTAATTGTTATTACTATATTGGTTAATGACTACAATTTCACTATTTGATTGTATATTTGTTAGAGTGTTTTCACCATAAATGCTATATTGGGTTGATGAGAACAATTTTCCTTGTGCAGATGGATGCCAGTCCCAGTCAACGTCAATCAGTAACAGTTTCGAACAGAAGACTCCGTGAATTAGAGAATGCTGAACGTCGGTCACTTCCACAATTTCAAGAAGAGGAAGCTGATAGCTATTCATCTTATATGTGCAGTCCATAATCAATACACGAGAGAATGTACGAAGCAAATCCAAACTACATTCAATGTCCATTCATTGTTTGTTTTCAACTTGTATGTCCTCAAATCAAATGGACATTCGCACTTCTTCATACCAATTTGTCTTAACAAGTCTTTTGAGCCATCTTTCAACTTGTTACGCGATATACTTGCCACTCCGCTCACAAGCAAGATAAATTATTGGTCTTTTGCAACCGCCACCATAGTCCGACATCTTTATAATAATAACAAAACCATTGGTCCTTCCAATATCACGTACCCAAGTAAGCAATTCATTCTTATTGTCGAAAAGCATGTATATAATGTCACACAACTTTTATAAGAACAAATTAAGTGTTAATAATTATTAACTTATGAAATTCATGTTAAAAGTTACCTATTTTGTTGTAAAATGACTAGTACAATCCATCATAATATTATATTGAATCTCAGTTTGTTCAGTGCATGCAATCTGAGAAGGGGGAAAAAAAACTAACATTTCATCATTGATTTTGTTGTCACAAGACATATTTTTGCTTGAGTTTGAACTTTCATTAGTTTGCAATTCTTCCATTACAAAATCAAGTAAAAACTGTGGAACTAATAAGAAAACGATATAAATAATAAAATATAAATATAGAGATTAAAGTAACATGAGAGTTGTTATGAAAGTATTGTTTTGCAACTAATAAAGAAGTATAGAATGTGCAGCAAGCAAAGTGACAATAATGAAAAAATAAGGGTTTAATTTTTTTTTTTTAACTCAAAAGGTGTACATTGATAGTTTTTTTTGTTTTTAAAAGATATGCATAGAGAATATTTTCATATAATATTACAGGTGTTGGTGGATGTCCATTATGATCATTTTAATTTAGGGTATAATTGTCATTAAAATAATATTTCATTAAGTGTGTACACTGAGCTAACTAGGTGTGTGGGAATAGAATCTCCCCAATATTAGTTGTAATTTAAAAATAAAAAAAAATAATTGAGAGTCATAGGGGTATAATAGCCGGAAAATGTTTGGTAACTCAATTTTTTGTGGCTCAAATGGCTCAAATCTGTCAAAATCTGTCAAAATGACGTCGTTTTACACTCAAAACGACGTCGTTTTAAGTGATTTGAGCCACAAAATTTTGAGTTACCTAGCATTGTTGATAATAGCTAACAGCACGAACTAGTGAATTATAGAGGTGAGAATAAAAAAATCTATAAAAAAATATGAAGCATTTTGGTAAATTTAATGATTGATCTTCACCTATTTATAATTAATTTTGCTTTTCTCTTGTAATTTCATTTTTTTTAAAACTGAATTGTTAATTTTTGACCCATTTACTAATACATTATTTTATCAAAAAATAAATAAAAATCAACGTATCATAAATCGACGTCTCATTGATCACGCGAGATAGAAAGTATGAGCGAGTGACCCATAAAAGGCAAACCCAAATTAGGTCCCAATCAACAAATCAAACCCCAAAACCCTTCATTTTCAGGTTTGGTTTATATTTGTAAAACAATATTAAAAAATAATTTTTTAAAAAAAGTTTATAAAATTTAAGAATTTATTTAGTTTTATATTTTAAAAATAGTTTTGGAATTTCAAAATTTTGAATGATTTTTTTTTTTTGTTTTTTAATTGAGTAGATAGGTGTGAAAGAAAAAGTGATTGATTGATTTGTAAGATGTGAGAAAATGAGATAGGAGTGACAAAAGCTTCGTTTGGTTTTAAATTTTTGGCTAAAAAAGCATAAAAAAACAAAATTGGCTACATAAGTTAATAAGAAAAAATGTTACATTCAAATCATAATCATTACATTTTTTCTCTCGTAAAAGTTAAAAAAGCCAAACCAAATGAGACAAAAAAAGTTTCAACACAAAATAACCAGCTAAAAAAACAATGCCAAACGAAAACAAAAAATAATTGATTGATTAATAAAGACAAAAGTGATTTTGAATTTTTCTTTTTAAAAAATTTCAACCACACAAATTTAAAAAAAAAAAAATTCAAAAATTGACTTTTAATAGACGGAAAATTATTGATTAATCCTAAAATACTGTCACATAATGCTTCACATGTATGTTAATTGATGAAAAAGGTAAGACCGGCAATTTTGTATGAAATAATTTGAAAACATGAGAACGTAGGGATTTATGATTAGAAAAATGTTTCAGACCATTAATTGAAGATTACTAATTAATTACTAATGACGTGGTATCATATGAACTCCACTATTAATGTGATAGTTTGACTCTTTTTTTTCTTCCTTTACACTGTCAACTCTAATGAGATGGCATTGGATTCGTTTGGGAAGTGAGTTGTCTTTTTAGTTTTTTTGGCTATTTTAGCCTGGGACTAAAAAGTCTTATTTGAGAAGAGTTTTTTTTTTATTTTTTTGACTTTTTGTGAGAAAAAAATGTAATAATTATGGGTTGAATGTGATATTTTATCTTATTAAATTAAAAAACTTACTTTATCTTTTTGTAACTAAAGTAATTCCAAATCCAACCTAACCATTCTTCCAAACGAAGTCATTAGTATCAAATTATAACACCATCAGGGGGTGATTTGACATGATCTAAATAAGTACACTTTTTAATTTTTAATAAAATATGAGTTTAATTTAAAATAATGTGATAGAGAGTGATGTGATTTAAATAAGATAATAATTTTTTAATTTTTTAACTTTTTTAAATTATGACAAATAAGGCTGGTGGTCTTTTTCTTTTCTCTTTCATTTTATTTTTTTATTTTTTTTGGGGTCTCTCACGCACACTGTACTGTGTACATTTGGGTTGGCATGTCTTCTACTGGTCCTGTCTTTTACTGTGTTTGAGAGAGAGTAGTGAGTGAGTGCGATAACAGAAGGTTAGAGAGAGGAGAAATTATTCATTGCACTGGAGCATTGCTCCCTATTCATGTTTAGAGAAGTGTTCAATTGTTTCCCTCAAAGGAGACAAACAAACAGTGGGATTCACTGTTTCAACCAACAATAATTAGGTTGGAGCAGCTAGATTTGCCCCCTGGCGATGAATAATTTCTCGAGAGAGAGAAAGGGATTTTAATAAAAAGAAAGGAATGCAGCAGCACCTGATGCAGATGCAGCCCATGATGGCTACCGTCACTGCTGATCACATTCAACAGGTACCTCTTCCACTCCCTCCTTTCTCTCTCTCTCCTGCCCTTTTATTGCTGTCTTCATTATTTATTGTTTGGGTAATCTAGAGACACCAAATTTTCTACCAAACAAATTTGGTCATTTGTTTGGTAGAAAATTTGGGACCTAGCATTTTCCTTATTGTTTTGTTATTACAATTATTTATCAATGAGTTTTGTTAATTGGGTTTTCTTGTAATTGATGTATGGTCTAGTTTTAGTTAATGTATCTTACTGCTATCCAACGTTTCGAGGCTTTCATTTCCTAAGATCTTAATCTTAGTTGATTTGTCAATGTTGCCTCCGGAGGGAGAGCTGAATCTGGCCTTTGTGGGTTTTGCCAATCCCTTTCTTGTTCCTTTTTAATCTGATTGATTGTGTAAAATGGGTTATATGTCGATTTAATGACCCCCATATCATCTTTGAAGGGTTTTATTATAGAGGTATCTGTCTCTTATATATATTGCAGTTAAATGGTATTTACAAGAAATAAATAATTCCCAATCAGAAGTATGTTTCCCAATATTGCAAAATCAGTGGTATCTTGGAAAGTAATTGCAAAGACTTAGCTGTTTGGTAGGAAGATTTAGAAAGGGATTTAGAAAGAGAAATAGAAAAGGTAGGTAAAATGTGAATAAAATATACCTACATTTCATATAGTTTCAACCCTTATGGTTACATTATATAGCCATGTAGCACAGTTATGGATATAATACGGATTTGCTGATACAACAAAACCTAAAAACATACAATACCAGTTCAGTCAGGATACATTCATTAAAATTATATATTTATAATTTTTAGTATTGTATTACACACATAGGCTCAAAGAATGGTGAGAAATTATTCTTTTGGAATTAAGTATCAGTTTAAAAGCCAATAGTTAGTTTACTATTTTTATTTTTTTCAAGTCTTATAAAATGTTTATTTAAATATCAAGTCTAAACTGTTTACATCGCCCCTTCATGCTTTCCATTTCACTATTATATGCAAAACTTGCACAAAATTTTACTTACTTGTTTTATTGTTAAAATCTAGTTTTTGTATATCATTATATTTTTTATTTACCGTTACTTTTAATAAAGTATGGATATGGATATGGACATGGAACACATCATTACACATTGAAGATACATCATTTTGATAAATTCTAAAAAATAACTTCAATTTCACTATTTTCTTCTTCTCTAAGAAGTAAGCAAAGTATTGAAAAATTATTCTTGTATTTATCCTAATAATTGTACTCTAATGTTATGCAAGATTATCCATGCTTCATAGGTTAACGATTATAGAGAATGTGAAGAAAGAAGAGAGACACTAATTTTGCTGAGGTGTGTGTGTAGTGAGAATGAGAGACATGGGGGAAAGGGAAGACAAAGAAGAAAGGAAAAGAGAGAAAGGATCTGGGAGTGGTATTTGGGATAACCCTGCCCCATAAAAATCTGACTCCATGAGATCGAAATTATTTTTTGGTTTTCCATTTTTGCTGATATTTGGGATAACCTTCCCACTAAACTGATATATCTTTCCCCAAATGCCATTTAACTGCAATTTCCCATATACAAATATTTGATTTAGTCTTTTTTTTAAAAAAAAAAATTCATTTTCATCCTCAAAGCTTTGTGATTTGGTACTTTTGTTTCTGAATAGCAAATTGGTAGGCTTTTGTGTGGTTATGTTTCTATCACATAATTTATGGAAACGGTATTTACACCTTATTTTTAATCATCCTTTGAAAGGAGTGCGATTGCCATTTTAAAATTCTCTACAAACAAATTTTCAAGAGTAATCAAACCAAACAAATTTTTCCAAAAAAATCTCAAAATTTTATTTGGTTACCTACTTTCCAAAATCACTCTCTCTCTCTCATACACTTCCCCAAAACAATTTTCCAAAACCATTTCTGAAAAAAGGCAAACCAAACAAGTTTTCGTATTTTTTATCTCAAAAACTACTCTACAAACACAAACCAAACACACCCGATATTTACACTTTATTTTTAATCATCCTTTGAAAGGAGTGTGATTGCCATTTTTCTTATTTATTTAGTTTTAGGTATTCTTTTTGTTGATTATTGTCTATTGTTTATTGTATGTGCAGTTTGGTATTTGGGACATATCTTTAAAGGGTGAATTGATACAATATGTGGGTGTAAGACAAATATAAGAAGCCACAGAGAACATGGGTTGTGGCGTTAAGAAAGAAACATCACTTTTCAGAAGCATATGGTCTAATAGTCAAATATGTTAGTGTTAGAATGCAATTTTAGTTAGGTTTGACAATTTTTTAGGCAAATTTTATTTGAGTTGTAGTTGCCTTTGAGATTTAATTAATTTTAGAAGTCCGATTTCATTATCAAAGAAAATTCATATCGACGAAATCAAATTCTTTCATAGTTGTAGTGGATCTAATGGTTCAGTCCAATAGCTAATCTAGCATAGAGTCCAAAACTAAAATATCCCTTCAATGCATTCTAGGTTGGACAATTGAGAGAGGTATCCAACAAGGCAAATAATGCAGAGCTAAAATTGTTCTTGGAAGTGGAAAGTGGACAGGTAACGTCTATTTCATTTTTTTGGCAGTGGTTACTCAAGTTGTTTATTATGGACTTCTGTTTTGGTTAAGTCGTATGGGTTTTATGATATGCACATGGAACTCTACATGTTGAATATGATGCGCACAACTATGCAGGATTTGCGGCCGATTCCTCCACCTGTGAAGAGCAAAGAGGAGATTCTTCTTTTTTTTTTTCAAACTTTTTGACTCTTTGAAAGAGGAGCTTAGGTACTTAACATTTCTTTCCTTGGGTTGAACTTGCATGTAATTACCAAGGACTCTTTGTTTCCCTTTTCGGTTAGTTATTCAGGTTTATTTTTTTTCATTTTTTCCCCCTGTTGTCAGGTATGTTGGGCGGTTGTTTGTGAAGTCGAATGGCAAGCTAGCAGAAATATTGACAAAGTTAAATGAGTTGGCTGGATTCAGTGAAGAAATTGAACTCTTTGAGGTCGGTTATTTCATTTTAGTAGATTGACTGCCATTTTCTTGCTCCCTTGCCTGGCCACATAGCAACAGATTTAGTTCAGACAGTCATCTTACGCACCCCCTTTAATGTTCAGGAAATAAAACTTGAATCTAATGTCATGTGTGAACGCATTGACAAGAAGCTCACCTTTCGTGGTAGTCAGGTATGAACACGATCAATTGTGAGCTGTTTTTGCTTGTACATTCTGCTCTGGTGTGTATAGCCTATTCCTTTTTTTTGGTGGTCGGATATGCATTAACCATGACTAGCTGAAAGGAAATATTCACCTAAATCTTCTGCAGCTTGAAGATGGTGACATCATTTGCTTTCAGAAATCCACTCAAGTTGAAAGTAGTGAACAATGCCGCTATCCTGATGTTCCTTCATTTCTGGAATATGTGCATAATCGTCAGGTGTTCCATGAGCCTTCACAATGTGACATCATTATCTGAAGGTTTGGAAGAGAATAATTCTTCTCATATATCTCAAACATAATCTGTACAGGGCTATAAATAAAGTACAAGAAGTTGACTTCTAGGCCCTATTTGTTTTGGGATGTAAATGATAGGATGGGATTAGGATGGAGGTGGGACTATTTAAGGGTTGTTTGGGATGACCTAAATAAGTGTACTTTTTGTCTTTTTACGAAAAGATGTGCAGAAAAGTAGAGAGGTAATGTGATAGAAAAAAGATAAAAAGATAAAAAGATGGATTATTTTTTGGTTGCCAAACTTGGCCTTAGTGTTGTGTTTGTTTGTAGAGTTGGGGAAGGGATTAGGATGAAAGAGGGGAGTAAGATGGAGCTTAGTTGCAGGAATCGTCCCAACAGGTGACGAATCTTAGTAAGAAACGCGGAATCGCGTTTCTTAGAAAGAAACGTGTAGGAATCACGTTTCCGTAGAGAGAGAAACGCGATCCTAGCCAAGATGGGATCGCTGGTGAAGAAGAACAAAAACCCTAGGAGAGAGAGACAGAGGAGAGAGAGTGTGAAGGAAGAGAGTGAGAACACAAACCTTCGACTCCAGTCATTGTCGTCGTCGAACATCCAGTTGACTCGTCGCTTCAAGGCCATTCCTTCACGAGCTGCCTGCTCCTGGACTTTCGACATCGATGATCGACCTTCGATCTGCTCTCGCGATCTGCTCGCGATCTACTCCTCGTCGCTCTCGCCTTCGATCGCCATGGTCATCGCCTTCGATTTGCTCACCTCCGTTAGCTTCTTCTTCTTCTCTCTCTCTCTCTCTCTTCGATTTGTGTTTCTGTCTTCCCTGTCTTCCCCCCTCCCGTTTCTAACATATAATAAATATAATAATATAATAAATAATATAATTTGTTATATAATAATATAATAGATAATATACTTTATTTGTAATAAATAAATTAATTTATTATATAATAATATAATAAATCTAATTAAATCAAACATAATAAAAAAAATCTAATAAGATTTATAAAATAAATCATTATTTTACTATTTTTTTATTATTTTACTGTTTTTTAACATATTTTATTATTTTACTATTTTTTATTTATAATATATATCAATTAAAAATTAAAAAATATATATAAATAAATTAAAAACATTATCTATAAAAATAATACTTAAGATAAAAATAATAAATATATTTAAAAATAATTATTTAACTCACCTTTATATAATAAATATATTTTAGAAATAACTATTAAAAATATATATATATATATATATTATCGCTTCCTGAGGCGCTCCCAACCTAAGAAACTTCTATCAGCTCACGCTTCCCCGCTCCCGCTCCCGCTCCCGCTCCCGCTTCATACAACTGAGCTCCCTAGTATGAACGAGAAAAGGAGGAGCATTATGATTATCAATGATTGTGTTGAAAAAATGACTTGCTTAAGAAAATCCCCGAAGAATGAAGTGACAAAACCCATTTATCAATGACATTGAGCCTCAAAAAGAAACATTCAAGAATGATCAATTTTTGTATTTTTTTATTTGTTTTATTATTTTATATAAAAATAATTTAACAATTCTTACACTAACAACTATCATCAAAACAAACACAATTTTACTTAATCCCCTCTCTATCAATCCCCTCCATTCTACCTCTGAAAATAAACGGGGCCCTAAGAATCTAAATAAAGAAACAACCTAATTCTAGCCAACATAAATTAGTACAGCTATACAACCTTTAATAAGGAAAGAATAACAGGCTGTTACAGCTGTTATACAAGCTTTATCAAGGTTCTGAAAAGCGGTTGCGGTCGCCGTAACGGTGGCGGTGGCGCGGTTGCGGTTGCGGTTACCGGAACTGTGAATTTTTTTATTTTTCGCACAATTTGCAAAAAACTTACCGATACACATATATTTTTTTTTAGAATCATATTTATTGGGTTTTAAAATAAATTTAGATAATTTTTTCATAATTTTTATGTATGATCCAATATATTTCATATTTTTAAATCACTATAAAATAATTTTTTTTACATTTTATTTCAATAATTAATGACTTTATATGTCATAAATCCATGTTACACTTGTGGCAAAAATTTCTTTTATTGGACTTAGATGTATAAAATTATTTTTAATTATTATACTTGTGGAAGCATATGTGCATTTTAACTCAAATAGTTTTAAAAAAGTATACATTCTTAATGGAAGAACTTGACAAAGTACATAACATCATAGCATAAATCACAAATAATAGAGAGTACATTTTACGTAATGTTACTACTAAAATTACATAATCTCACCACCAAAATGAGTGACGTGGTGCATCTTGGGATTCAGATTGTTGAGTTTGATTGTTGCTGCTACCTTCACCCCACCAAAATGAGTAACGTGGTGCATCTTGGGAATCAGATTGTTGAGCTTGATTACTACTACTACCTTCATCCCATCCAGTAGGAAATATATAAGTAAATGTGCTCATCATGTCATCCCTTTCTGTTTCGTGCATTGGGAGAGAAAATGGATACCTTGGCTGAAAAGGATCAACATACTCTTGTTGGGCTTGTTGATAATTTGGCAAACTGTATCCTAGAGGACCATGTTGTTGAGGGGGCCAAGGATAATTTTGTTGAGGTGGGTAAGGATAGCTCTGGCTATCACTGCTATAGGATGGGTAAGGATGATATGGATAACTATGACTACTATCAGATGAATCAAGCTGTTGTTCTCTACTTCTTATTCTTCTTTCATCCCTACGTGTATCACTACCACGAAACCTCCTAGGTAGTTGGGGTAAAGGTGTAACAGGTTCTCCAATATCATAATGTTCCCCAACATCACATAATCCAAATCCTCCAATAAAATCTTCACTTCCTGCACCAAAACTAGTACCATCACCGCCATCACCACCATTGTCGCCACCACCACCACCACCGTCACCGTGAGAAGTGCCTTCACCATCACCATCATCACTTCCTCCATCAGATGGTGTTAAACCACCACTATTATCACTTTGAGTTGGAGTAGGAGTTGAGTTTTGAGAAGTGCGTCGAGCTTGATATCTATGGGTGCCACCACCATCGTTTCCATCGCCACCATCGCCATTGCTGTCGTTGCTGTCGTTGCCACCACCACCATCATCATCTGAGACCAAATCTAGCCATTCAGAATTATCCACACCATCTAGCAAAGGATTTTCCCTTTCTTCTATCCATGGACTTATTGGATCATCTTCTTCAAATATATCTGCCATCGCCATTGCTGTCGTTGCCACCATCACCATCATCATCTGAGACCAAATCTAGCCATTCAGAATTATCCACACCATCTAGCAAAGGATTTTCCCTTTATTCTATCCATGGACTTATTGGATCATCTTCTTCAAATATATAATCCAAGTTAATAGGATTAAATCCTATCAATCTCCTCTTGGCTGCTTCTTTTAACGTGTCTCAATTTTAATCTCATGTTGTAGGTAATGAAGACTAATCTTTGGATTTTCTTATATTTCAATCTATTCCTCGTCTTCGTATGGATGAGACTAAAAGTACTCCAATTACGTTCACGGTGAGATGATGTGGTGGTTTGACTTAATACTTTCACAGCTATTTTTTGAAGTTCAGGAGCACAACTGCCATGAATAATCCACCACTCAGCTGCACAAAATTACATTACATTAGACATAAGTCAAAATATGATAAAAAATTATTTAAGTATTTATATATTGTAAATTTGTAATTTTGAAAATAAAACCTGGATTTGATTGTTTCCATGCTCTTTGTGCTAAAGGAGTACCAAAAGTTTCCTGTTTATCTCGAAACAGCAACAACTACAATTTGGACAATCATTACAAGTAACATTTGCAAAAGTAGATTATTACTATTAAAATTTAAATAATTGGTACGTACTTGATTTGTTGCTTTCACTTGAGCATCCATATTAGGCTCCAGTCTGGTAATTACTTTTTTAAGTCCATCCATCACTTCTCTTATCATTTCATTGGATGACGTAACACCATATTGGAATTGAGGATTTAAAAAATATCCTTCAAAAATAAGAAGACAATTAATAATTGTAAATAAATATACATTTTATAATTGAAATCGTAACACTTACCAGCCGCATGCAAATCTTGATGCAATTGAAAAGACCATCGAGTATCAATAATTTTCCAATACTCGGTGTAGTAGCGACAATCTCTTTGAATTGCCAACTTTGCTCTATCTATAGCTTCATATATGAAACCCATTGTTGGCTTCTCATCTCCATCAACCAACCTCAATACTCTGACTAGGGGCTCATGAACTTTACAAAGCTCTGTTGCTTTCTGCCAAAACTCCTTTCCCAAAATAATTTTTTTCACATTGTAAGGCTGCCCAGTCTTTGCCTTCCCCCATCTAGAATTCTTCCACTCATCACTATTAAACATAGCTCTCAATTGTTGTTTATATCTAACAATACTCTCAATGGCAATAAAATTTGTAGCAAATCGAGTGATGGCAGGTCGAATCAATTCTCTACCTCCAGTGAATTTTCTCATTAAATCCAACACCCATCCACTATTATAAATGAAATTGGTGATGGTTTTACCATCTTCAATCACCTTTGCTACACTTTTCTTATTGGCTATGTCTTTTAGCATGAGATCGATACAATGTGCTGAACAAGCTGTCCAATATAAATGTTTCCTTTTTCTCATTAACATTTTACCGGCAGCTTTCAATGCAGGTTCATTATCAGTTACCACTTGAACAACGTATTGTTCGCCAATTTCATCAACAACTTTATCTAACAACCCAAAATAATATTCAACAGTCCTACTAACAATATTAGAGGCATCAATTGATTTGTGAAATATAGTACCTCTATTGCAGTACACTAAGAAGTTGATGATGTGTTGCCGAGTTAGACTGCTCCAACCATCACACATGATGGATACACCTCTCTCTGCCCAAATTCCCTTGAATGATCCTATCCATTCTGTCATTTCATCATGCTCCATGCCCAAATATACTTCAGAAACTTCATAAGCACTAGGACCCTTTACTCCTGGACCTACTTCAGCAGCAATATCAAGCATGGGTTGTGTATACTCTGAATCAACTGCATTGAATGGAATACGATTATAGAGTACAAACTTGGACACTGCCCGTCCCAATCTCTCTTTTAGCTTCTGTAAATTCATTGTGGAGATTTTTCGCTGTTTTGTACTCTTGCTCTTTTGGAGTTCTACATCCATTGCCCTCAACCTTGCTTCAGGAGCATTAGGCTTAATCCAATTACGTCCACTCCCACCAGTTTCACGCACAGATTGTGATCGACGAAAAACATTAGCAATACCTGACCCTTTAGGCAATCTTCGACCACTACCCCCTGCACCAGAACTACCACCTGCATCGTATTGTGATCCATGACCTGCAACACCTCGTCTAAATTGTTGCCTTTCCTCCCATTGTTGTTGTGAACGAATACTTGCTTGTCTAGCCCTGGTCATCTCTGGATCAGAGTCAGAGTCATCATCTCGAAGATCTACAAAATCTCCCTCTTCATTTTCATCATAGAGATCATCTCCCCTAATATGTGCTTCCAATTCAGCTTTTCTCTTTTGTTTGTCTACTTTACTCATTTTCTTATTTTGTAAATGTTTCATCATTTCTTGCATCACGTCTCTACTAACATTAGGACAAGAACGCACTTGTCCTGTTTGATGTGCTAAATGTTGTTTGAAACGCGTAATCCCACCTTTAATGTGATGTCCACAAAATTTGCAAATAATATGATGTCTAGTGCCTTCAACTTGAGTTCCAAATTTCCAACCAATATCATCACTTGGGGGTTCATCATTGGCACCCTTTTGTCGTGACATTTTTGAATTTGAATTATGCATCATTGATACATTTTGTAATTTTTTTTAAATGTTTATAAAATTATTTTTGAGCAAAACTTGAACTAACTAAATAAACAATATTTACAATTATTAAATGAAATGATTGTAAAAAAATATTTAAAATTAAATACTAAATAAAATAATTATAAAAAAATGTAACCACTATTTATACATTTGGATTTTACATGCTAATGTAATTAGGAATAAAGACATTTTTCATGGCATTGATTGAGCTATTGTTTTTATTTTTATTTTTTTATTTTACAGAAAGACATTTTTTTTAAAAATAAATAAAAATTTGTGCATCAAAATTGTTGTCACAACACATTACAAAAAAACTTTTTTTAAAAAAAATATTTCAAGTTAAAATACTAAAAAAATAGTTATAAAAATACAACGCACTATTTATACATTTCAATGTTTACATGCTAATGTAATCGAATAAGAATAAAAAATGAATTATAAAGATTTTTTGATGAGTATTGATTTTTTTTTTAAAAGACATTTTTTAAAAAATAAATTTGCTTTACAGTGTTGTATACAAAAATAAAAATATTTATAATTAAATATTAAATGAAATGATATACAGTAAAAAAAAGCAATGAAATGAATTATAAAAAAAATTGCAAACCACTATGTTATAACATTGGAGTTTACATGCTAATATAATCATATAAAAATTAAAAAAATAAATTATAAAGAATTTTTTTTGAGGTATTGATTTTTTTTTTCTTTGAAAAAGATATTTTAAAAAAATAGTGACTTCAAATATTGTTGTCACAACACATCACAATAACAAAATAAAATGATTTAATATTAAATATTAAATGAAATGATTATAAAAAGAATTGCAACAACTATTTATACATTGGAGTTTACAATGCTTAATGTAATCATATAAATTAAAAATAATTATAAAAAAAAATTCTTACATAGTTGTTTTTTGGGCTTCAATCACTTGAGTATTTGTTATCTTTTTGAAATAACTCTGCAAAAAGAAAAAAAAATTCAATAAAACTGACATATAGTAAATGTATTAAATAATTATAGGTGTTATGGTTTTAGATATTAATAAAAAAAAATCATCTAAATTATATATATAAAAACTAAAAATAGAATGCAGTAGCCTTAGATATATTATATATAATATATTTAAAAAAAATCAATCAACTAATTATTATAATAAAATACTAAAAAAAATGCATATGTCTCTGAAAATCAACATAAATTTTGTAAGTTTTACAAAATTTAAAATCTGAAAAATCTTGTAAAAATAAATTGCTAGATCAACGGCTGTATCTTCCTAGGAAGCTGCACACAAAAAAAAAAAAACAACAACAAATGTTATATTATATTATATAATTTATATACCTTCCCAAGGTATATCTTCCCCAGGAAGCTACAAACAAAAATAAAATAAAAAAACAAAACAAAGGGGCAGCACTTTCGGAGGAGATGAATTCGGTCCAGGAGCAAACAAAACAAAATAAAAAAAGAAGATCAGAGGAGATGAACCTGTGGAAGCAGCACTTCGGTGAAGACGTAAACAGATCAGAGTTTTGTGTTGAAGAACAAAGGGGCAGCCGGAGAGTCACAGAACAGAGGCAGGTTCATATCCTCCCTCTTCCCTCTTCTCTCTTCTCTCTTCTCTCTCTCTATTTCTCACTCATATCATCCGTATTTCAGATCTGAAAATTTGTGGATGGATACACCTCACCTCGAAGTAGTTCATGTGCTGTAAAGCAAAGCATTTGAACCAGTGATTGAGCCTCTGAATAATAAAGGTATGTACCACATCTTTTGTTTTTTTGTTTTTTTCTTTTGTTTGAACCAGCATTTGCACTATCCGTATTTCTTTTGTTGTTTTTTTTGAAAATAATCAGCGAAAAAAGCCCTATAACGGGTGTAACGGGCCGTTACGCCACCGTTACGACCGCTACGTCGGCCGTAACGGCCGATATACCTGTGAATTTCAATCACACCGCAAAATCGGGGGTAACGCGTGGTGCCTACCACCGAAACCGTTACGTAACGGCCGAAACCGTTACGTAACACCGCATTTTTAAACCTTGAGCTTTATACACCCTAAGAAGATCCATATTCCAACACTCCCTGTCAAGCTAGTGTGTAGATATCATGCATTCTCAGCTTGCTCGTGATTCGTTGAAAACTTAGGCTAGGTAGTCCTTTAGTGAGAATATCAGCTAGCTGTTTTGTGGATGATACATTTGGAGTTCTCACTTGTCCACTATCAATCTTCTCTTTTATGAAGTGTCCCGTTACGTAACACCGCATTTTTAAGCCTTTTTTATCACCCTCCAACAAAAAGGAAATACACCACTTTGGATGTTACCTTTGTAGAACACCCACCTTACTTTGGGGACACTATCTTCAAGGGAAGAGTTTAGTAGAAGATAGATGGTTAGAGGTTGATCATTCCTTGCCTATTCCGAGTGTGGTATCTAGTCCCATACCAAGTGCTAGTTCTTGTTCTAATCCAGATATTCCTCCTACTTCAAATATGTCTTCTCCTAAACTGAATGTGAGTCCCGAATAGAATCCATTGAGCACTATAGAGTCTCTAGAGACCAAAGACGAGAGACTCAAGACACCTATCACCAAGGTATATTCCAGAAGGAAAAAGCCCGAAATCAGCTCACATGATCCAAGCATTGATCTTGAAACAGGCAATGAAATTGAAACTCGGTTTTTTGATTCTCATGAAGACTCGAAATTGCCTATTGCCATTAGGAAAGGTGTTAGAACTTGCACTCGTCACCCTATATCTCAATTTGTTTCCTTTCAGCATCTCTCACCTCAGTATCAAGCTTTTGTCACCCAAATGTCTTCCCATGAAGTTCCCAATAGTGTCCAAGAAGCTATTAACTTGAAGCCATGGAGGGAAGCCATGAATGAGGAGATGAGAGCCTTGGGAGAAAAATCAAACCTAGGAGATAGTAGAATTGCCAAAAGGAAAAAAAACTATGGGGTGCAAATGGATTTTCACCATCAAGTACAAAGCCAATGGAACTTTGGAAAGGTACAAGGCCCGATTAGTAGCAAAAGGGTATACCCAGACATATGGGATCGATTACTAGGAGACTTTTGCACCGGTGGCCAAGATGAACACTATCCGGATCATTCTCTCATTGGCAACAAACTTTGATTGGCCACTACTACAGTTTGATGTAAAGAACGTTTTCCTCCACAGAGACTTAGAGGAAGAAGTATTTATGGATATCCCAACCGAGTATGGAAAACAGACATGGTCAAACAAGGTGTGCAAGCTTAGAAAGTCTTTATATGGACTTAAACAATCTCCTCGGGCTTGGTTTGAAGATTCATGAGAGCTGTGGTAAAAAGAGACTATCGTCAAAGTCAAGGTAATCATACTTTGTTCATTAAACATTCACATCAAGGGAAGATTACTGCATTGATTGTTTATGTTGATGATATTGTGGTCATTGGAGATGATCAAGAAGAGATTATAGGACTAAAAGCCTACTTGGCTAGGGAATTTGAGATTAAAGATTTGGGTAAACTTCTGTATTTTTTGGGAATTGAGGTAGCAAGATCAAAACAAGGGCTGGTGATTTCTCAAAGGAAGTATATACAAGACTTGCTTAAGGAAACTGGCATGCTTGGATGTAAATCAGCCGAGACTCCTATTGAGCAGAATCACAGATTGGGAGAGGCTAATGAAGATCAACTTGTTGACAGAGGAAACTATCAACGGTTGGTGAGAAAGCTTATTTACCTATCACACAGACGACCAGATATTGCATATGCCATGAGTTTGGTAAGTCAATTTATGCATGCTCCACTTAAATCTCATTTAGATGTTGTATACCGAATTCTGAAATATTTGAAGGCAACTCCCGAAAAAGGTATATTGTTCAAGAAAAGTGAAGATTTAAGGTTGAAGGCCTACACAGATGCAGACTGGACATGTTCTATTGTGGATAGACGATGTAACGCCCTCAAAATAATAACATTAAACCCAACAAATAAGACATGCCTTGATATACAAAAGTTCCACATTCATTCATTTCATGAGAGTCCCATTACATAAGTATTACATGTTAACAACAAAAGCAAATGCCCTACGGGCTTACAGCTTTCCAAGTTAACACTTGGTTACAACAAAAAGAGTACTAACTCATACACCTTAAGCCCTTGGCTTGAATTTACATGTAATACATCAAAAGAGAAAATGACAGA